TGGTGGAGGCCTGTGATCTGGGCTTGTTGAACTACTCTGTACACCAAAGTATTCTAGAGTTAAGAGGCCATATGTCCAACAACTAAAGTTTAGCTGAAATTGGGTCGTGAACGACCCCGAGCCAGGTTTGCTGCTAAAAGATGGTATAAAAGCTATTGAATTATGGGGTGTTCTGTGAAAACTTTTCCCCACAAAACTATAATTTTTTTTTTCCTTCAAATAAGGAGGATCAGACTAACAGCACTGAACAACTTTTCACATGAGAAATATTGATTAGACCAGTTTCAATCTGACCTGGTCAGTTATACCTCGACTCATCCAAGAGGAATTTTTAGTTGAGTCACTCCTCGAAACGCCAACATGTATCTCAGTGGACTGGGAGTACAAAACACTCATGCCTCAACTATTCCATCAAGCTGCAGAGGAGTTGACTATCAAGCAAAACACAAATGTTTCATTTCAGCGCTGACTTAATATGTATCAGCGCGATAACGACAGCAATGCCCTTTACTGTTTTTCCCTTCCCATGTGCGTTGCCACCAGAAGAAAAATGACCACTCTCAATCACATCTTTTATTTGTAAGGCACCAGAGACGCTTCCTTACTGCTAAAAGGTTGATTCATTCTCAGAGTACACAGTTGCTTGTTTACATCTTTTTTTTTTGTTTGTTTTTTTTGTCCCGGGTATTTTGAAATGAGACTGTGTTTGTAGACACATTTAACAGTTTTTCATTTGCACAGAAAAAAAAAGGATAAAACATTTACAAATCTAGAAAACAAAGTTAAGTGTTACAGCCTACTGAGAGAGAATGAATGGAAGAGAAAACAGGAGAAAAAAAAGAGATGGGATATACAACATTGTGCCTCTCGTAGCGTAGGCTTGTAATGCACGCGTACAACAACGAAGTCCTCCATGATACACACACATTAAAAAGCAGCTTTGAAACATACAAAAATGCTTTAAAAAATATGTATATTGATATATTCATATGTATACAAATTGGCCCTTCACAGCAAAACAAACACACATACCATTCACATGTCTGAGTTTTGCCAAGGGAGGATTTCTACAGAGGCTGACGCCAGTATAAAGAGTGCTAATGATTAAATGATCTGTTCTCGCACTCGATATATTGAAGTCAGATCTCCAGGGAGGGAGATACTCCAGCTCCCCAACACTTGCACAGACAGGAAGAAGAAAAACAAAAGGAGCAGTGAGCCACAACTTAAGTGCTTTTCAAATTAAAACAGAGGGAAAAGGGTTATGCTTGGACATTAAAAACTGGGTTATCAAAGCTCTGGAAAGCACTCACATTACAGGGGAGGAACAGCTGACACACCTGCAGTGTACCTGTGGTCAGCATACAATCTTAAAAACGAAAAGAGAGGAAAGCAATAATGTGACTGAATAAGACAGATAAACCTGGGGCTGTTTCCATGCTTTTTATAACCCATAATAAATCACTGGAAGAGCACTGCTGCCCTCTGCTGCCTAAAAAAATGAACATTTCTCAGCCATAAACTTGAGCTGTTCACCAGTTTCATACCACATACCAACTGCAAACATTATGCATACAAGTTTTGATATATAAGATCACAAAAATGGGAAATTATCAACACGCATATAACCTCCTGGGTAGCATTTTCGAAAACGGTCATCTTCATTTTCTTAGATGTCACTTGAATCATTTCCCTATTATTATCGGTTAAAGTTGAAAACATCTGTGAGCAGCTGCTCCTTTTCAGATATAACAACATAAAAATCCAACAGTCTGCTTTTACCTCTAGGCCTGAACCTGCACTACTAAATTAGCAGGTTTGGAGTTGTTGAGTGTGTGTAGCCTGCATCGTATTTACTAAAGATTCATTTTACTGTTATCGTTTAACACGGATCAACTTTTAGTCTAAATTAGTCTAACATGGCTAAACTACCAAAGAATGCCTCCTGATGTTTCCAACATCAATACACTACATTTAAAACATATTATAGTAATTGTAAGCCACTTCAAATTACATTCACCAGCCACCTTATTAGGTACACCTTGCTAGTATTAGGTTGGAATACCTTTGGCTTTCAGAACATTTGTCATTGATTTAACAAAAAGCTGGAAACTTTGCTCACAGATTATGATCCATATCGACATGACAGCACCACACAACTGCTGCAGATTTGTCGGCTGCACTTCCAGGACACGAACGTCCCGTCCCACTGCATCCCAAAGATGCTCTATTGGATTGAGATCTGGTTTCTCTGGAGGGCGTTTGAATGAAGTAAACGCACTGTACTCTGGGAAAAATCCCAGTAGAACAGCAGTTTTGGAAATACTCAGTTTAGCCCGTCTGACACCAACAACCGTGCCACGTTCACGGTCACCTTTCCTCCCCATTCTGATGCTTAGTTTGACCTTCATGTGACTGGTTGGAAGTGGTCAGCTGAACTGCTGCTCTTTAACACTGCAGGTCCAATTCATTTTAATCATGCTTCTTTCAACAATAACATTTTGATATCTTAATAATCTATATTAATGAATGAGTCAAACGGTTAATTGCTATTTGTACATAACATCCTTATTTATATTAAAGGTGATAAAGCTATTTAAAGCTATACTGCTCATCTTTATTATTATTATTATTTTTATTATTATTATTATTAATAATAATAATAATAATAACAATAATAATGAAAGTGAATTACAGCTCTGTTCAATATTCACATTTGTCAGAATTCAAACAAAACTGGGAGGAAATGACTGTCCAACAACAAGAAATTATATGTGGGAGCTGATCACAGGTAGAAAAAGCCGAAAACAAAATCTCACCACATCTCCATGATGGTAACAAAGCTAAAAGAAGTCACTCTCATTAATACAAAAACAGCATATTAAATTTTTTTGCACATTACCTACATGAAAAGC